TATTTATAGACTAAAATTCTGGATTCTTTGTAAAAAAAAAAAAAAGAAAAAAAAAAAAAAGAAAAACATTTCTGGATCCATCTGTGCGAACCTGTACGGATCATTGATGATTCCTCTATAGATCCACTTCTCCAGGACTTCAAAGTATGGAACGCTGGCTGCTTTGGTGAGGTAAAGACACAGCTCCTGAGCCTGGCTGTCACCTGTGTAGTTGAAGGTCCGGTCATGAAGAAGACTCAGTGTTGCTCCTCCCATACACTCTCCTTTGTCCAATGAGGAAGCTGCAAAAATGATGGAATTTTTTCAGTGACTATAGTTGCCGTTTATGGGACCATATCTGACATTAAAGATCCACCCAGTAGCTGTCGATTGCTTTATTAACATTCCTGCCTTTTATTAAAAGTCAGGTATGTCAAAGCAAAGGTGTAGCTTGTTTTTAGAAAATCTCCCAGAGGTATCATGCAGCCTCCTACCGATAGATGCTAGTATCTCCATGGTCCTCATGGTGGGCTGGATGTAGAACCAAAGTTTCTGCAGCGACAGAAGGCCCTGCCGCTGGAGGTGCTCCAGCTGTGTGATGAGGATGAGATACTCCTTCATCAGTGTCCTCATCGCTGCCGTCAGAGCGTGGTTCACCTGGCCATACTCAAAGGAAGACTTCTCCTCAATGAAGCTGGAAAAACAAAAATAATCGGTTTAAAAGATCACCATCATTTCCAGAAAAAAAACTGATCCAGACAGAAAACGTATATATTATACTGATATATTATTGTCAAAGTTACACTAGTGAGGATTTTATCAATTATATCTGGTAATATTTTTCTTAACTTGCTGATTTCTGCTTGAAAGGTGATATAACAAACACTAAAGTTAACTCGTGATATTTAAGATTTAAATTTTTAAGTAATTATATAAGAAATGATCTTAAAATCATATCTGAGAACTATACATGTGTTTTTATGAATGAAGAAGGAACAAAAAGCCGTATAAAACGATCTTAAAAAGGAATATTTGGAGGAGAGGATAACTGTGATTTTGCCTGTTCAAAATGACCTATATCTGTTTTTTTATTCTTCATCACAAAGCCGTAGATTTCAAGCTTCCATTTCCGTTCACTTTGATAATAATGTTTGTAATAAAAGCCAGAAGTTCTGTTTCTTCTCTTTACCGTGTTACAGTGGAGTAATATGATGCAACTGGTAATATTCGGTTAACCAGCTCTTTGATGGACATGTCCAGAGTTGCATCCACTATAAAAGAGCGGTTCTGCCTCCCCAGGACTGGCTGAGCGGTGATGTCTCGTCCGTCTATTCCACCCAGGACAAACAGCAGGTCCTCAACCGCAAACTGTTCCTGAGAGGGGAGCGGCATCGTTCCTGACAACACACACGCACAGATTAGCCCAGTAACGCAAAAAGCAGCAGACAGAAGTGTGGCGGTCCACTCGGTGCATACCAATGGGGACGGCTGGATCTCCTGTAGGAGCAGGACCGGGGATGAAGTCTCCGATGAGTGCTGGACGGTCGTAGACCCAGTTAGGAAAAACAGGGTTGGGCTGGGTGGGGTTCTTCTTGTTTTGTTTGTCTCTCAGCATCTTTCGGGTGACCTCAGCAGGCAATGCTCATAAAAAAAAATGACTAATATGAACTTTAAGGTAATAAATATTACAGCAATCATGGGTGAATGGCTACAGCTTCATATAAAATAGACTTAAAGGAATAGTATACCCGTAGCGTCGTGAACGCGCTTTTAGGAAATCCTATACACTACTGTTTATGCTCTAAAAACATTCTAAATGACTTCGTTTCGAGTAAATTATGGACGCTACCCACTCAGGACACTTGGAATACATTGGACGAGCAGTATGGAGGAATATTGACACGTTTTTTGTGGACTTTTATGGACCTTTCTGCCTCGGGCGCCATAGACCTCCATTTTTTGAATGTCAGCAGACAGCAAGAAGCCTCCCAGATCTCCAGATGCATTTGAGATATCAAAAAAGTACTCCAGAGTGTTGTTCAGCATGGGGGTGAGTAGAAAATGAAGGCTAATCATGTTTTGGGTGTACTATTCCTTTAACATAAAAGCAGAGCTGTAAAAACACATGAAAATATATCATTGCATTTTCATGCTGCATAAATACCACTTAGGACTACAATAACTGGCTGCAAATGCTCTAAATGCCCTAATTTCAGTCTGCTGGTCAATAACATGAACTTTAATGCTCACATCTGATCAGGAAGGTTCAATAGGGAAACAGTTTCTACCCCCTTTAGTGTCAGCAGCTGTATAAGGCAATGTGGGATTTTATCTCTAGTTTTATTTAATATATGTGCTAATAGTCTGTTCAGCTGAGAGCCTGCAATGCTCCATGTAAGATAGGTGAACATTAATGAACCAACTTATGGATGCTGATGACCTGGTGGGCTTCAGTCCAAGTGGTGCTGGTTTACAGTGTGCAGCAAGATATGAATTATGTATATTAGTAAAATAAAAATAGCTGTTTGATTTCTAGGACAAGCAGGATTAACATTAGAATTTTTCTGTGTTTAAATTGTTCAACAATCTCCTTGAGGATTCCAATAAGGTTAAAACCTCGGTCATTTTATTACAGATCAAATGAGTGATGATGATATGTACAGGCAAAGGTGTTAGATGTATATGTGGGCTAAGATCACTGCAGGAAGATATGGCTTCTTCTGAGTTCAGGTAAAAGTTGATTTGTTTAAAGTCTATTGCAAGAAAATATATTCTGCCCCCTTGTGGTTATTTTACAAACAGCATAGCATTCAAACACTGCATGTTGCACTCAGTGATGTAATGAGAATCTTCTGTGGGATGACCAGTGAGGGGGTGTGTTTCAGACTTTACTGCTGTGGGTATTTTAAGGTACTTTTAAGACTGTTAATGTTTACTTTTAGCAAATTACTGTATGATATTTGCAGTATAGTAGTAACAGTATAATTTTAATGAGAAGCTCTCGTTACTCATCAAGTCTGATGAGGCACTGGGTGAGTCTGTGTATGCATTGATCTATATAGGACAGTTTTATCAAAAAATGTTTTATGTATCTAATTATCTTTATTTTATCATGGATGCTAAAATCTGCAAATAAATATTTATAATAATCTAAAGCGTATGTCTTCAACAGGGGGTCTGCGGCCACAGAGTTACTGCATGGGGGTCACAAAATTTTTGGTAGATTTTTTTATATCACCCCCTGCAATTTTTTCCACTAATTGAAATGTCTTTAAATACACATTATCATGAATTCAACACATCGTAGTAAACAGATAAAGTCATCAATGCATACATTCAGCGACACACAGGAGCTTTTTCAAGCTGGGCACCAATTCATTCACAACACCTGTCCCATCAACCAGGAATCAGAATCAGAAAAACTTTAATAATCCCAGGAATATATAAATAATTACGGGGTCCACACTCCATCTCGCCATCAGTTTGGGGGTCCTTGGCCTGGAAAACTTTGAAGACCCCTGATCTACAGGATTTCGGGCTTGATCACATATAATCAAAAGTATTTGTCTAACGTCAGGAAGTTAAAACTACAGAACTAAGACGCAGGCCCATTTTCAAGGCCAATGAGGTGTTTATAACTAAAGTCAGATAAAGCACAGAGATCTATGAAGCCTTTTAAAAAATCAAACTATTTTTCTGACATGTTTGCCTTTAATTTAGGCTGAAAGAGAGCAGGAGAGAGATGGACTACAGGCATCAGGAGAGCTGGACATAAATGCTAAAGTTAGAAAAGTCAGTAGCTGCTAGAAAATCTTTGACAGTAAGAATCTTTTTTTCCTTTGCTACCTTTACATTTTGAATTGTGTTATTACTCCCAATGAAAAGTTAATATAAAAGAGAAATAGTCAGAGCTGATTTCTAATCTCAGGGGTTTTGTGCCTCCAGTATAAATTTATTTTTAGGACCAAAAACATCAGATGATAAAGGAACAGCACTGAATAAATGAGCAGCTGCTGATTATTTACACATGGATTAGTAATCAGACATTTCTTCACACCTCATAGGAAATAAAGCTTTATTTTCCTGACTTCACACATCTCTCTGTTTCCTTCAACTTGTGTTTTAAACACCTGGCAGTAAAAAATAAACTAGCTTTGACAAAGAAAAGGATTATTTTTTTTTAACTTCCAACCAACTAATGTGGATGTGAAATAGATTCTTTTTTTCAAACTCACCAGAGGGGCGTTGGAGCTGGCCGTCACGTTGCCTAGCTTCTTCCTCAGTTCATCCAGTTCCTGCATGGACATCTTTGTGCTGGTTTGAGGCAGAGAGTAACTGGTAGCAGTGGTCGAGTTTAAAGACTCTGACCTTTCTTTGGCGTTCTGTTGCAAAAATTGAAGCATCTAGACAAACGTATATCACAGCAAGCAAAGAGGAAATTAGAAATCAGGCCAATCAGATGAAGACTTTAAAGAACAGAAATGGTAAAACTGAAAATGAAACACAAAACAAATGCTTTATTTAAAACAAATAAATGAATAAAAATGTTTTGTGTTTTCATGCGTTACCTCTTTATCCTCGCTGAGTTTAGAGAGCAGATACAACAGAGGGTCAAGATGACGAACATTTTTGGATTTTATCTCCTCGTATTTCCTTAAGAAATCTTCAGGTGTTTTTGAGAACTCTGCTAACTTCACCTGGAAATGATACAAAAAAAATTCTTTAGAAATAAGAAAGGAAAAACATTTAAACATTAGTGAAACCACATACTCCACAGCCATATAGGTAAAAAACATTCTGACAACTCTATTGAGGACAATGGGCAGCATTTCAAACAGCAAAGGGGATGAAATTACCTTAAATAGTTTGAGAAGCGTTAGCCGCTAACACTAGCATTTCCATAGACATTAGCAAAACATGATAAACTACAGGACAATAGAAAACAGATCTTAAATATATCACGTAATAACACATTTTATTTAAAGCACCTTTCAGGACACCCAAGGACGATAAAATTACATATAATAATATTAAATAATCATGTATAAAAGAGAAACAGATAATCTTGGATTAAAAGAAAAATTGGTTCCTACAAGAAGGATCTGGTTTTTTTTGTTTGTTTTTTTTTGAGTTTTTACAGCTTTGTGTTTTGTTGGGATTAAGCTACAGGATGTTAAAGGGGGAACCAGGACTTTATTCCAGGAAGGCAGGAGGTGAGGGATGTTGGACGGAGTTTGGAGTTAGTATTACCAGATAAATAGAGCTGGGTGTCATCCACATAAGAATGAATTTGATACTGAATTTCCGAAAGATGTTACCAAATAGCAGAAGGTAGATGATAAAAAGTAGGGGCCCCAGGACAGAGCCCTGAGGCTGAGAGGGGATGGATCTGAGTAGATGGACTTAATTTGGAAGAAACGATAACGGCCAGAGAGGAAGGAATGGAACCAGTGGAGGGGTGCGTGAGTGAAGGTAGTCTATTGAGAAAGATGGAGTGCGGAACTGCGTCATGCTCAGGTCCAGAAGGATAAGAATAGAAATGAGATCTGTGTCGGTTGCTATCAGAAGGTTGTTTGTGATTTTTAGGAGAGTAGTTTTGGTACTGTTGCTTCTGTGTTATTTTTATGTTTAAACAATGCTCTTTTATTTTATCTTAATATTAAAATATCCTTAATTAACTGATATACACAGCTATATATAATTAGATAGAAAAAAACATACTCTTATAAAGGTGTTTGTTTCTCCTCTGGGTTTAACCTACCTTTGCACTGTGAGCAGAGACTGTGGTGGTGACATAGGGAGTCCTGTGCTTCTGCAGCAGGTCAATGTATCCCTCCGCCCCATCGCCTCCTCTGATCTGCAGGAGACTGAGCAGCTCGTTCACGTCGTGGTGGATCCTAAACTCACTCATGATTGCTGTAGCTGTTCACAGAAGGAGCTTTTATTACTTTCAAAGAGAAAGGATGGGATGGGATAGCTAAGCTTCAGATAAACAACCATGCAGCTGAAACACAACAGCACGACAACCGTATTCTAATATATATCTGAAATACAAGCCATTATAAACGCTGTTACTTCACATTATTAATGATGCACTGCTACAATTTACGTTTTCTGATGCTAAAAAGCTAACTAGCATGTCAGTTGAGGATGCTAAAGTGTTGGTAGCTCATCCATATAGTCCATAAAACAATGTATAGATAGACACAAAAAGCATTCCTTACTTTTTCTAAACCAGCAAATCTAAAAACAAAATACTTTAATCAGTATGGTACCTGTTGGTGGAATTAAATAACAGGATTTTAACAGCAGAGCTACCAAACGCGCCCACCACCACTCAAATTCTCCTTCGTTTGAAAACAGTAGCGGCAGAAAATCAACACTGACCTCTAGAGGCTAAACAGACGAATTACACCATTGCGCATCCTTTCCTTGTCTTCTCAAATTCTACAAACAAACGAAAATCAGATTATACTTGGCATTTTAAGAATATATATATATAAATGTTTCAACCAAATGTCTGAAATCATTGAATACTGTTTATCATTGTGCTTTAAGGTTTATAACTGGTAGTAGACATTTGATACATCATTGTGATTTGTATGCAAAAGCTGATTGATTGATTGATTTCTTTAAGTGTTCAGAGAAACAATCATTTGATGATCCTAGTACATAAATCTCTCCCTGGACTAACACCAACATGCTTAACCTCTCTTTTGCATAGATCTAGTAGTTCACATTTTTTATGCTCAAATGTTTTTATTCTTCTCCATGTTCCTCGTTTTTCGACCTGATAAAGGTAAGAAAAGCATTCAGTGTGTTGGCTCCTACAGGGTGGAATCAGCTCCAGTCTGA